TCAAGTGGAAGGCTCTCAGTCTTTCTCTGTTGAATATGATGTTGGTTTTTCATAGATGCCCTAATCACGATGAGGAACTTTCCTCCTATTTTTCAGATGTTGAGTTTGTTTTTTTCTTCAGGAAGGGATGTTAGATTTTACCGAATTGGCCTTTTTACATTTTTTTCTTTGTTGTATTGTGTAGTACATTTATAGATTTGTCTAAAGTGAATATTGTGATCCTAGATTAAATTCCACTTGATTACGCTATACAATTCTTTGAATATATTTTTGGATTCTAGTTGCTAGTATTTTGTTGAGAATGTTAGTATCTATAGTAATGAGTGAAAACTTTCAGTATCTTTGGCTTTGGTACAGGTTAATGCTTTAGTTCTTCAAATTGGACTTGATTTGGGATTTTTCCCTTTTTTTAAGTAGGTGTTTATGGCTGATGTAGCTGTATCTCATAGATTTGGATATGCTTTGTGTTCATTTTTATTTAACTTTTTAAAAATAGACTTCAAGGTTTTCTTCTCACTCTGGATCTCTTCCTGAATCACTATCTAGCCAATAATAGTTTTACAAACTGGTCTTAGAAAGTGATAATCTAATATTATCTTGTTATATAATCTGTATTTCAGTATATTGCTATATTACCACCAATCCAGTGTGTTTCTGAAGGTGATCACTTGATAGTATCACAACTTCCAAGAAGTAAAAAATCATACTTAGTACTTGAAAATGTGTATTGGTTTGCTCAACTGAGGATAATAGCTAATGTGGGGTTAGCAGTAAATAGTTATCGTCTTTGAACTTCTTGACAGAGTAATTCCAAAGGATACTTTTATGTTTTTGTTCTTACTCCTTTTAGCTCCTCTGCCACTCTCAGATTGGCTTTTTTCTTCCTTTCATTCATGACTCATGACAGAATAGAAAATCCAGTCTTGTCCCCAAATAATCCATGTATCTTTTCTCAACTTTCCTAATTAAGGTTTTTTGTTGGTTTTTTTCTGTGTGTGTGCTGATAAACCAAAAATATTCCCATCAAGTGGATTTCAACTTGTATGAAAAAATGAAATGCTTTTAAG